AAAAAAAAAGGGATTTTTAAAGCTAAAAAAAAGGGGAACAAAAAAAAAGGGGAAAAATATTTTTAACAAATAAAGTGTGATCAAATAAGAGCTTGGGAAAAATGATAGTAGGTAGTACTTTAAAGTAATTCTTTAAATTAGAATTATAAAATAAAATATAATATAAAAGGGTAATATAAGTTGTGGTGACAATAAAGTGGAAATTTCAAATAATTGCACTAAGGTTTTTATAATGCTTTTGTGGAGTCTATGTTTTGAGCTAGAATGAGCTATAGTACAACTAGATTTAATCTAATAATATAATAATACAAATTAAAAATAGCACCAGTGTGTGTGTGTGTGTGAGACAGAGAGACTCAGCAATCAACATTTGCACCAATAACTCACTACAGTTGTGACCGGGTGTGGAAGTGTGAATTGCTCATTACTCTAAAATTTGTTCATGATTGAAAGCCAGTATAAACGTAAGTAACCATTCTTACAGTATTCATTACCTTTGTAACTTGTGAGTTCATTACCTTTGTAACTTGTGAGTTCATTACCTTGTACCTAGTTCAGCCATCAAAACTTTGGAGCCCAGTCCCTGGACCCATTGTGTACCCCTGTAATCTGTAAATACCTTTGTAACTTGTCATGATTGTGACTAGACCTACCTGGAGTTCATTACCTTTGTAAATTGTGAGTTCATTACCTTTGTAAATTGTGAATTCATTACCTTTGTAACTTGCTCAGCTATCAAAACTTTGAGGCCCAGTCCCTGGACCCATTATGTACCTCTGTAATCTTTTGACTACCGCCCACAGGATGGGTATGGGGTGCATAATAAACATATTAAACTAAACTAACTCTCTCACTAGTAATTGCAATATGGTCTAATATAATGAATTTGGTATTGACTATAGTACAACTGAGTTTAATCTAATAATATAAAAAAGGCAAAAGACTCTCAACTGTAATTGCACTAAGGTGTTATATAAGATGTTTACAAGAATTAGAGTATAACTAGATTTAAATTGACAAGATAAAATATGCAAGTAAAGGTAGCAAAAGAATAAAAAAAGTAGAAAAAAAAAATATAGAGGTAGTTGGTACTAGTTAGCAAAAGATAGTTAAAGGGGCCCTTTTGAACAAAAATTTTTTTTTAAAAAATACCTAATTCCCCCAACCCAAATTATATTTCAAAATTTTTGAAAAAAAATTCTTAGAGTAGGAATTATAATAAAAAATTTAAAATTAAAAAAATTTAAAAATTTGAAATGGTACTTGAAATTTGCACTAGGTCTGGTATAGGTTTTTGGACGTTTCAAGAGTAAAATAGATTTAAATTGCCCAAAATATAATTCAAAATTAAAAGTACCAAAAAAAATTTAATAGTAAAAAAATAAAAGGGTAATGTTTTGGTTTTTTTATGATAGAAAAGATGGTGGGACAGGAAACACAGGCCCAAAGGGATAAAAATAAAGGCTGGAGTTGAATATCCCAAACTTGAAAATTTGGAACCCAAAATGTTATGGGAAGAAATTAAAATAATGTTTAATGTACAAAAGAAAAATTCACTGGTAGTAAATTTTGGTGTTTAATAAAATTTTAGTAATTTAAAAATGATTCAAAAAAGTGAAAAAGTTATGTTTTTTAAATTAAATTATTGCATGGTAGTTATATTGGGAGGTTTTTATGGAAGCAAAAGGTAATTAAGAGTACTCTAAGATGTAAAGTGGTTTTAAAAAAAGGGAAAAAGGGTAATTGGGACAAAAAAGGGTTTTTAAATGTAAAAAAATTTTTAAGGAAAAATTTGAAATTATAGAAAAAATGATAATTATTAATTTTAGAAAAGTAAAAAAAAATTTGTTTGTTTTTTAAAAAATATGGGGTTTTTTTAAAAATGGGCAGGGGAAAAGTATAATTAAAGCTAATTTTTAAAGGGCAAAAAAATAGTAAATAAAAAAAAATTACTTTAAGGGGTGACTTTTTTGTTTTCTAGTAAAATCAAAAATGAGGTAGTTGTTATTTAATTACTAAGAGATTGTAAATGAAATTTTAAACCCAAAAATGGAGAAAAAACTTTCCCATTTACACTCGTAGGCTTTTGGGTTTTGGACATTTTTTAGTTATTCTCTGAAAATTAGTACCCATGGAGAAAATCATGGGGGTTCTTTCCGTTCTTTATTGTTTAAGTTGCCCTACATTTGTTTTCCTAAAAAAAAAATTTTTCCCCTTTTCGTGGGGAACCCTTTGGTTTATTGTGCTTTATTTTTCCCGTTTTAATTTTCTGACTTAAAAAGGGAAAGGTTCTGACTTTTTTTTTGGAAAGGGGACACTGGTTTATGTATCCTCTTTCTTTACTTTAATAGATGAAATAATTAAGTTTTTTTTCCTGTCTT